GACGCAGCTCACACTAGTTTTTAGCTAGTTATATCTTCGCATTTTCAACAAGAATATGTTGGGTTATGTCTTTCATAATACGAAAGAGTGAACAAATTAATATAAAATTCACTAGAACATTTTTCGCGCGCCATTTTTTTCTAATAATTTCCCTATGTTGTTGATATATATAAAAACTCTTACACAACTTTATACTTTATATTGATACCGATGGATGGTTACTAATAAATTAAAGATAAATGGCGATAAAACCGAATCCTCTTACTTTCTGCATCTCATCGTCCTCGCCCATCTATTAGCTTGATTACTATTTCTGGTTTTTACAACTGTTCATCCTCTTCTGTTCGTAATATTGGTGTTATTTTTAATGAAAAATTTCATGTCTCTTGAGGCTCATATTACGGCTATCTGCAAATCTTGCTTTTTTGAAACCCTTGTGCATGAAATATGTATACGACAAGAATGAGTGGCCTTTACAAGGAAAATGTAGGAACTGTAGAACACCTTGTTTCCGGTCGCAAAATCCTAGCTGGCAGAGAGCATAAAGAAAGGCATATTGCTTACTATCAATCACGTGACTTTTTGGAGTTGACTGGGGGGCAAACAAGCGGTTGACTGGGGGGCAACTAGCGGATGCTAAGTCAAAACATATCAGAATAAGTCCTCAAACTATTGTATTTGACTACTTTCACGACATCAAACCAGAAAACAAGAGATCAAAACAACCTCCAGGATTCTACAAGCCATCAAAAAAGAGCTATTACCGGAAGTGACGTCTATTGATAGCAACCTATTGTGAAACATGGACTGGACTCGTGTGGACTGGATTGGAAAAGCGAACGAAACTTTATACATCTTTGTCTAAGAATGTTCACGTCTTGTGAAGAATATCTTTTAACTCCTCTCTAAACACAACATGATAATTCAAGGCACGTTGTTCCGTATGGACACCATCACACTTCAAAATACAATGTGTTAGCTCTAATTCAATCTATCAGTAGCCTTATCAAGTTTTAGTCCACCATGGAGTGATAAATCTGATTAGATTTTTTTTAATCTATAAAAACCAATCACACCAGCACCATCTTTAATATTATCAATTCGTTATCATCACCACGTGCAACCACCACCACCATATTTCGTCTTCTCCATCGGCATGATCACTGTCATCATCATCATCATCATCATCATCATCATCATCATCATCATCATCATCATCAACACAGTATAAACATTCTTATCCTTATTATCCTCCACACTTCACTTAACGTTCAGCTTTGATGAATGCTTTTAGTAACAATGATTTCGCATTTATAATATTAGAAAGCTACATCATGGCTTTAATGAAGACCACAGATTGTATTTATGTGTTTGACTCCAATTATTCGCATTGATTTTYCCCCCAAATATTTAACAATTATTCGCCGAAGGCGAAATGAATATCGGGGAATATTTACCGAGACGCGAGACTTCGAGAGGCGAGGCAAATATTCTCCGATATTCACTGAGGCTGAGGCAAATAATTGTTTTAGTATAAATACAAAGGCGATTCTTTCAAAAAAAGAAAAAAAGGAAGATAAAAGACATTTTCTCGGTAACAGCAACAAAGCGGCTGGCCGCCATTTTGGATTATCGCTGAAGGTGATTATCGTGTGATAGTGTGAGTTTCTCGACCAATCAGCGCGCGAGATTTTCAATAATCTCCTGTGTATTTTTACTAAACGTAATTAAAGTACCTATACCACTTAACTCAATTTTTTCAGTATTGATCCAACATGAAGTGAATATTTGAATGGTAAAGAATTTCATAGGATTCGAGTGATGCATCTTGGAGACAATAATAATGAGATTCTTATATAGCGCATTATCACATTGTCTCAATGCGCTTTACATTGCAGTGGAGGGCTTTACGGGCTGCATATTAAAGGCGATATTAGCAGCCGTGCAGCTGACAATCATGAGTGATTTGTTAGTATGTTAGTATTATGCCTCCAAATTGGGATAGGGTGTTGAACCGGGAGACAATCCCCTACTCTTACACAAATCATACTTTTACTTTAGGTTAGGAAGAGTTGGGAGACAGGGCCTACGGTTTAAAGTCCTTGTCCGAGAAGACTTGAAGGTCTAACCATTTGCAGATGTAATTACAAAGGCAGCACCTTCTCCTCAGTTATTTTAAGACCCTGAGTGTTGGTCCGCGGCATCAAGGCCATAATAATGTCAATCAAGACTTAGGACTCATAAGCAATTGGCTTACTGACAATGGATTAATAAGCAATACTAAGAAATCTGAAGTAATGTTAATTGGCACGAACCACGCTGTGAAGAATGCACGACACCTTCAGGTTGTATTGGATGACAAACTGCTAAAACAGTCTGAACATTTTAAGTACTTAGGAGTGAATATCAATAATCGTCTTAATTGGAGCAAGCATGTTTCTTACATATCTTCTAAAATTTATCCAAAACTTAAGATGCTAAATAGGATTTCACCTTATTTAAATAGAAATGTACTTTTAAGAATATACAAACAGACTGTTCTACCAATATTAGATTATGGGAGCATAGTTTGGGGAGACTGTGGGAAGTAGAATGCACAGCGCTTAGATCGCCTTCAGAATCAGGCAATGCGTATCATTTTATCAAGTGATCGCAAAACTTGCACTCAGGATATGCGTACTAAGTTAGTTCTTTTAACTTTAYCTAGYAGGCGGCGTTTTTTAAGACTTCAATTAGTTTACAAAATCATTAATAATATAAACTGCCCAGATCAGCTAAAAAATTACCTAGTGAAAAGATCGGACTTGCATAATAGATCGCTGAGAGATATGACATTATTGAACATACCAAAAACATCTTCCAAAATGGGGCAACTATCATTTACGTTTTCTGCTGCTAAGGATTGGAATGATTTGCCTAAGGATTTGAGAGAACTTAGCTCTTTTTCCATTTTTTAAAACAAGCTTTTTAAGTATTTTTTAGATTTTGATAAAAAAGAGCATAAGTATACTGTACGATAGATTTTTCTTCTTCATATATACTCAATATGCTAATGAGTGTGATGTCATCATAGGCATGGTTAAATATACAAAACTTTTCTGGGGTAGCAAAATATCCTGCATATAACATCGTTGTCTTACTCAGGGTTTATAGAAAATTAATAGCAAATTTGTTTTCTCACAGCAATCAGTGTTTCAAGTTAAAAACGATGAGAAGCAAACTCGAAGTCCTATAATGACATCACACTCATTAACATATTGGATGTATAAACCTTGATATCTTCAAGATGCATCACTCAAATCTTGTGATTTTTTTTACCATTCAATTATTCACTTCATGTAGAATCAATACTGAAAATATTAAGGTAGGTGGTATAGGCGCTAAAGCTTTGTGTGCCGGAAAGCTGAAATGTCGAGAATTTGATGTCGGTGGAATCTCCAGGGACCCTAACGCCTATTTTGAATTGATTTTGCAATCAAAGAGGTGAATTTTTTTTATTCCTCATTTATACAAAGTTGTACATTTGTTGATTTTGAAACAAGACCGACCAAGTCAGGCAATAGAAAAATTAGCGTGTTTTGAAAAACGCCCAATTTTTTCTCAAAATTTGCATTAAATTGCGAAATGTTTTGTCGGATCATGGAAAAGTAGTCAAAGTAAGATTGTTTGGAGAAATTGTCAAAACAACGCAAATAAACTGTAAAAACGAGATGCGCGAAATGGAAGCGCAGTAGCAAAGGTCCGGAACTACCTTAATAACATACAGTCAATTCAAAAAATGTTGTCGTCGACCGGCTCAAACCTACGCGACTGGACCGAAAGGAACTCTGGGTAGCAATCATTGAAGCCGAGTTGACTCCATAATTTTATCTGACTAGTTATGCCTGGTTTACTGCACGAACCTTCGTAGCCGAGCGGGAAGTGTCGAAGGAGACTTTTTTTAATGCCTTCATATTTTCGAAATTGTGAACTGAATCATAACCACTTTGTTTTCCTTTCCCTAAACCCAAAGACAAGCATTTCATGGATTGTTTCTGGCCATTATTATCTTATTACTAGCGGGAACAATTAATTCAGAACGAATATTTAATCGCTTTAGTGATTTTTACCCATATTCCTTTCGGTCCAGTCGCGTAGGCTTGAGCCGGTCGACGACAACGTTTTTTGAATTGACTGTATGTTGTTTTCGTTAGAGCGGACCTTAATGGGTTTGGAAGACATCAAATCCCTCCTTCAGGAATTGATTCACGACTTAATCTCTCTTTGTAATCAGAAGCACTCTGTTTGTATATCAAAAATATAAAAAAWTTTTCGCAAAGACCGTTAGCAAAAAATATAAGCCAAACCCAGTTGGCTCGCTTTAAAATTCGTCCCACACACACCGCTATCTACACGATTCAATTCGAAATCCATAAAATTACGATATTGATAATAATTAGATCTTATTAACCGAGCGGGAGGTCTGTACAAGATTGTCCCGTACAGACCGACCAAGCTCGGTTGATAAGAGTTTTATTATATGACCACTTTTCATTGAAAAGGACAAAATGTTTTCGCCGTAAGATTAATATGCGATCGGACCGGTTAATACCGGAGAATCTAGACCAGTCCGCGATGCGATCTATCCAATCAGATTGCTCGATTTGCTAGTGTCCAGGCTCTAAGATTCACGGTCATATAATAATATTAAATAAAACATACATACATAGCTTTAGCTCGAGTTAATGAATTTGGAGTTACAAAACGTTACACCATGTAAATTTTTTATTTGAAAATTCTAATACAGTTGACTTTAATATGAATCTACAGTTCATAAAAGAACTTAACATTTACATACTTCATACACTAAATACACTAAACTAAACACTAAATACTAAATACAGTAATTAATGACTATGTTGCAAAATATGCCATCAGTTAGAGTCACTGATTTCTAAAAGGTGTATGGCAAAACTAAGACTCTTGCAGTTTGATGTCTAACATTAAAGAATAAATTTTATGCGGGGATCGCCAGAGAATCTACAATAAGAGATAGTACAATTAGTACGACTTGAAGACCAGTTTATTTTCCTATTTATATGTATATATTCGTATACTGATTGTAAGCTCCGTGATTAAAGAAATCAACTTAACTTAGTTTAGCCGTTGGAGGTGCTGGAATGCACAAGCAGTCAGGCATTCGATGGCTCCAAAAAGTCTGCATACAGTTAAAAAAAGAAATATCTTGACAGGCAAGCACTTGAAATATTATTTGAATGCTGTATAATTGTTCTAGAAAGCACTTGGTAAAACGTATCTAGTTGAACGTATGACTATGTATACAATGATAACCTGCTGCTATCTTCCCGTTATATCTAGTGTCGATAAGATATGTTAATCTCGGCCGATAGTCCGCACACATCGGAACACCGGAGACAAATTTGTAGACGGCGTATGGAAGAATCATTCTTTCGTAATCAAACATAGTGTTTGGTAAATGCGCTCGTAGTGATTTTTGATTGCAGCTCAGCGAGTGATATCTAATTTCACGAGCCGTATATACCGCCAAAACCGTAGCTCCCGATAATGACTTTAAATTGGTGTTATTCTATCTTTAATATCGTTTACCTTATTAACTGATGCTTGTCTTTGAACAGTTTTATTACGATTATTTGTGGTGGAACGTGGTCGAAAACACGACAAGAGCTCAAGGTATAACTTTTCATAATATATCAAGATGGTAGCACTTACTGAACCGTTAGCATATACCAAAAAAATATTGACATGACGAACTATGTAGTCAGCAGTGAATGAAACATTACGTTTAAAAACCGCTCTAAAACTAAAGGAAACGAAAAAGGCCGTGTACGGAATAACGAAAGCAAATATCAGAGATACGAACATTCTTGTTACTTTTAGTCGAGACAAAGCCCGTTGAGTGGTTTGAGAAGCGGCAACACGTTTGCTTAATCGTTGGCGCTTTAGAATACGAAGGTTAATGAACGTTAAAGTAAAACTCGGCAAGAAGTATACTATGAACTTAAAACTGGTGAAGATAGCCCTATATAATGAAACTGAGCTATCGTATTTACWAACAAAAGTATAATAGTTGTCTCCAACGCTTTCATACACAAGCCTGAGGGAAGGAATAAAGGCAAGAGTTATCAAAATTCCTAAAACCCAAGCTCCCACAACCATTTTCTTAGCTTTCCTTCGCCTTAGAAGATAATATGGATGAAAAATGGCTAAATATCGTTCTATACCAATAACTAAAAGATTAATAATTGTTATTACAGGAAAACAAGTATTTATAAGCCTATTCAATCTGCAAATCGAGTCACTTTTGACGAAGTCGATGAACATTTCAGTTGTAAAAACAGGAAAGCTAATAAGACAACAAAGCAAATCTGTCAAGGCAAGACTATTGATGAAATATTCTGTCAAGGTTCGACTGGTTCCTCTTTGGCTTCGTCTTCTTCTGTGTTGCTTGTTCTTGAGGTAAAGGATCAGAGAGTTTGCAATCAACCCATACACACCAAACACTAAGAGCATGGCGGTGAATATCATGAGTTTATCACGGTAATTAACAGGCGCAAAGACATATTCTCTGCTGGTACTATTGATTGCTTGACTAAAATTATCACTGCTGTTTCTTCTGTTAAATTCGATTTCTAGACTTTTAGTTGTCATTGTCGGACTAAAAGTGAAAAAAAAAATCGTTTTCCTTACGCGAAAAAAAAAGCGCGATCCAACATGAAAATACAGACCAATTCACCTTTTCGGCGCTAGCCGTCACGTGTTGTAAATTGTGTTGGATTGTGTTACGGTCACCAAGAAGTTCGGACATTGTTCTCGGATTCCCGTACAAATGTACTGACTATGAATGAACTATTTACTTGGCTTGTTTAGTTAGTTCTCTAAATACAAATAAAATATCATTTTTCTAACTTGATTGAAGCTTTTCTTATTGCTTTTAAGAGAGCTAACTAAAGAAATCTATCTAAATTTTCGAACGATGTCCGAACTTTTTGGTGACCGTAACACAATCCAACGAAGTGTTTACGACGTGACGGCTATCGCCGAAAAGGTGAATTGCTGAATTATGCTATTTGTTTAGGAACTTTAATAAAAAAATAATTCAAATAAAATAAACCAATGAATGATCAAAAAAATACCTTTAGCTCAACGGTCACTTGGAAGGTTTCTACGTGATGATGTCTTCTTTGAGTATGTATTAGGTGTGGGATACTTAACGCTGAAGAATCTCGCCAGTGAGAAAACACTTAAGCAATAGAAAACATTTTTCTCTGTGTTTACATAGCCTGATAGCAACAC